CCTGCCACTCTGGTACCCTAACCTGAGACTGTCACCTCACCTGGGAAATAACTGCCACGTAGTGAGCGTCTATCACTGGATCCTCATCTCCAGCCCATGAAGCCTTTAGGAGCCATCCCCGTTCACTGAGGAGTAACTTGAGGCTTGGGGAAAAAACCAAAGTAATCTGGCTGAGGTTCCACAGTCAGTGTGGTGACCGGCAGGAGCTCCCGGCCACAGGCTCCTGGGTGTCTTTTGGTCGGTTGAACTGGATGAGGTGTGTGTTAGTCAGATTCCATTATTCAACAAACACTGGACATGAAGGGTTTATTTGGGCTCATAGTTAGGAGTTTCAGTTCATGGTTGGTCCCGTTGCTCCTGGCAGTGTAAAACCGCTGACCTCATGACCAGAGTGAGAGAGAGCAAGGGGGAAGGGGCTGGGTCCCAGGATGCCCTCTGGGGGAAAGACTTTGTCTCAACCACCTCCCACCAGGCTCCTCCTTAAACACCGTGGTTTTAACCACTGTGTAAACTGGTCAGGCTGGGTCTAATATTTTAGTTGATGGGTCGCAGCCCTGCCTCTACCCCACCCTTCTGCTGGATCCTACAAAGAGAGGTGAGAAGCTCAGAGCCCATCAACCATTGCCCTCAAAAACACCCCCTCAGAAACACCACACTGGGGAGCAAGCCCTGAACACAGGGGCCTTTGGGGGAACATTCAGGTTCTAGGTCCTAGGAAAATCTAAGTTCTTTGTTTTGCCCCTCATGTAATAAATATGAGTCTTGGTCTGAGGATTCACCTGACCTCCAGCTATTGCATGTGGACGGGCATGGAGCACTGAGGCTTTAGTCCTCGGGGACACAGAAGTCCCACAGGACTAGGAGATACAGAAGAGAGGATTGGCTGGGGGTCAGTCCATAGGCCTTTTAGTTTCAACTGGGCTTCTCAGTAATTCTGAGACTTTCGACAAATAAAAAACAACCCTAATTTCCTTATTTTGTCCTTCTGCCTTTTCTCCAGTTCCCCCCACCCACTTGGTGCTGGCCCTGTTCTGGGATCTGGGCAAAAAGACTGGCCTCCATCTTGAATGTCCAGGCCGGGATGGAGACTGGAGTGTTGGGAGTGGGTCGCAGCCCACTCTGCCACTGGAGTGTCTCACAGGCAGACTGGTGTACTGCTCTGGGCACCCTGCCACTTCCTGGAGGGTCCCAAAGCTGCCAGGGCCCTCTGCAGGGCGTGCAGCCCCAGGCCACTCCTGCCATGTGCTGGCCTCAGGGTGGGTGCACACAGCTTTGTGGTTGAGACACTTCAGCCTAAGGGCTAGGGCAATGGTTGATGGACTCCGTGCTCCTCACCTCTCTTTGTAGGATCCAGCAGAAGGGTGGGGCAGAGGCAGGGCTGAGACCCATCAGCTAAAATATTAGACCCAGCCTGACCAGTTTACACAGTGGTTAAAACCACAGTGTTTAAAAGCGTGGACTTTGGAGTCAAAGTCGGTGGGACCTTGGGCAATTGACTTTGGCTCTGTGTCTCAGTTTTCTCTTCCAGAAAATGGGGCTAATAGTGCATACTTTGCAGGAATGAACACATTAATGAGCTCAGGTACATTGGATTCTTAGCACAGGGCTGGCCTGAAACAATGGCCAATCGTGACCTTGAGCAGGAGGGGGTGCTCTCTGCACATGCATCAAGAAAAAACTGCAGAAGACTGCACCTGGCCAGAGCAGGACGGGGCACAGGACAGGTCTCAGAGGCAAGGTCCGTGAGAGGGGGCCATCAGCCGCCTGGCGCATGCGCAACGGTACTCACCCGGACTGGGATGCTCTGGATATGAGGTTGGATCGGGGCCCAGCCAGCCACTCCGACCCACGGGGGTGTGTAACATTTGGAAGTGATTGAGCTTTTATTGGGGGAGCCCGGATGTAAAGTTCTCCACTGAATTTTCTATAAATGCTTTTTATTAGCCAGTGTTTTACAATGTGAGAGCTATTGAATTAGGCATCCATTAGTTTCTGCTCCCTGGGGAGGCCAGGATGCCTTCCTTCATCTTTCGTGCAGATAAAGCCAAGAGGAGTATGAAAACCAGGACACATGGGGAGGCCTGCTTGTCCAAAGGGCGCAGAGAGCTCCGGAAGACCTTTTCCTCAGGAAGAAGGATAATGGGCATCTGAAGCCGCGTCCTTTCTCCTTAAAAGCAAAATAGCTTTCTTTGTAAACATGATTGCATTTAAAGTGGCCTCTAAAACCATGTCATTTCTGCATCCCCGTGCTGTCCTTTGGATTTGAGGAGAAAAACCTTATTCTTTACCTTCTGCTTTCCCAGCCCTGGACTCCTGTGGACTCCACCAAATAGTTGCAGCATGAGATGAGCATTATTATTGTTGCACAGTGTCACTCATCCTGGGAACAGCTCTGCAAGACTTGGCCTAGAAGGTAGAAGGCCCGCCTGGTGGTCGAGTGCCTCTGAGCCTGGGTGGTCTTGGTAAGGAAGACATGCAAGTGGCAGGTGGTTCTGGAACTCAGACAAGCTGCTTGCTCATAAATCTTATGTGTGTGTGTGTGTGTGTGTGTGTGTGTGTGTGTGTAGTGGCACTCTCAATGACTAGAAATTGAGGCAAGGGACCAGACTTCTGGGTGGAACCTTCGCGCTGGTCGGTAGAAGTCTGGGCGGGGCTTCTGTGACAGTTATGACACTGTGCACTGCCCAAGGATGTCACATCTAAGAACAATCCACACCATAGAAACCTAGATGTATATGTCTAGTCTAACAATCTTGGACAAGAAAAATCAAGTGTCTCATGATAATAACAATCAGGAAATGGTAAAACTTCCAATGAATAGAAATGAAGGGTCTTGAGAAGGGAAATCTTTTTGGATTTGTGCAAGAGTCACATAAACCCCTTGTGTCCTTGAAGCTGGCCATATGGACTGGGCAAATTCTTGATGGAAAGGAGCAAGAGGGTAGCTCTAGGGTCTCGAGGGTCCCTGGCCTCTCCTGGATTACCCTACACTTGGTCCAGTCTATGCCCCAGCCCCCACACCTCTGCCTCTGCCTCCCTCAGGATGGTGATCCCACATTTGCGTCAGACCATAGGGTGCCTCCCTCATGAAGAGCTGCAGGTGGGAAGGGAACAAGACAAAGGAGAGACAATCCATGGTAGAAATACCTTGTTACAGGTCCTGAAAACTGGGTGAGAAGTTGGGGTGGAGTAAAAGGTTTTGGGGGACAAAGTAGGATTTTCATTCATCATGTGGGTGATGGTGTGGCCCTGAACAGAGACTGAGTGCGGGATGGGGGGATGCTTGGAGGCAGGAGTATAGCGGGCACACTGCTTTGGCAAACCTAGCAGGTTTTAGCATTGACCCGGGAAGGAGAATGCCATCATTCCAACTTGCACCATGGGTCGTTGCATTTCCAAAGGGTTTTGGAAGAACGTCAGTCCTAAGGTACATTTGGCTGAGAAACCAAACCAAGCCTCAAAACGTACTCTGAGCTTGAGTAAGATAGAAACAGCATGCTGTCCTCGGGCCCAAAGCATCCCGTGCTGAGCAACTCTGCCCAAAGAAACTGGCTTCACAGGAGCTCAGCCAGAATTTCTCAAATATATTGCTTAGACATTTAAAAGAATGAATACCTCTTAGTTTTCCCAGGAGCTAGGCTTCCTGTGTCATCTGAATATAGATTGGGGCCAGGCGAGGGGCCCCTCCCTGAGCCCAGAAGCCTTGCTGAGCCTTGTGGAGGACCCTAGGCACCCTTCAGGGCTCACGAGGAGCTGGGCACCTGCTTGCCTCGAGGCTCCCCAGAGCCCTTTTCAGACATGGCTTCCTCCAGCCAACTTGGACTCTTGGCGGCAGCTGAATACTCCCTGTCTGGTGTGTTGCTCTTTCCCTTGGCAACTTCCTTCCACTGCAAACTTTGTCCCCCTGCAAGCCAACAGGAATCAGGGGACAGACAGATGTCCCTTTAGAACCACAGCAGCATGGAGTGTGGAGGTGAGCAGTGACTGGGCTTTACTTCTTTCCCCAGAGCGCCTCCCCACTTCACAGTGGCCTCTTTCCCCATCCTTCCTGTCGAAGTCCTGACCTGCAGGACCTCAGAGGTTGGGTCTTTAAAGAGGTCACCAGGGCGGGCCATAATCCAATATGACTGGTGTTCTTCCAAGAAGAGCCAGTGTGGACCCAGGGCGAAGGCCGCCATCTTGATCTTGGACATGTGGCCTCCAGAACTGTGAGAAGCAAATTCCCGTAGTGCAAGCTCCCTAGCCCACAGAAACTTGCTGTGATCCTGATCAAACGACTACACTTCCCAACTCTCCTTATGTGTGAGCTTGCCTAGGCTGAAAGTCTGGGATCACCATGCCCAGAGTGCTATTCCTGGGAGTATTAGACGGGCAGGGGAGTGGGAAAACAACACAGATAGACATTGATGTGGAAGTTTTTCTTGGGGCCCACTGGAGAAATATTGGTTGCATACGTTTCAAGTTCCAAAGCACTTTTCCTTGCATATCTAGTCTGATTCTCAGATATCCTGTGGGGGTGTCATTTATCTAAAAGTTAGGTGGAAACTAAAATTTAGAAGGTGCTGTGCTTGGGATGAGTGTCCTCCAAAGGCTCATGGTACTACTGGAAGGTGGTGGAACCTGGAAGAGATGGGGACTTATTGGAGAAATTAGGTCACTTGGGGCATGTCCTTCCTTCATGGGATTCAGGTTCCTTCCTGTCTCTTTGCTTCCTGGCTTCCCTGAGATGAACAAGCCTCTTCTGTCACATGCTTCCAACATGATGTACTCTGATACGAAATGTCCAAAGCAGCAAGGCCAGTGATCACAAACTGAAACTTTCAAAATCATGAGCCATGATAAACCTTTCCTTCTTATAAGTTGATTATCTCAGGTATTGTGTCATAGCGATGGAAAGTCAGCTAATGAACATCATCAGTGAATACATCTTTTTTTTAAATATAAAATGGGATTTATGTAACAGTAGCTGACTCTGCCATTTTTTCCTTTCCTGCTTTGCAGGCAGATGTAACTTGTGGGACAGCAACATCCATTTTGTTTCCAGGTACTGACAAGGAATGCAGAACCCACCGAGGATGGCAGTGTGGAAACACAGGAGGTGCCAGCATCACTGAGCAACTGACCAGGTCAGCAACTGCCTATCTATGGACTTGCTATGTGGGAAAAATGGGCTCCACTCATTTAAGCCACTAGAGTAAGGTTTTCTTTATTTGCTGTTACATGGCAGGGGGACACGATACGTGGAGCTGGGACATGAGGTGACAACGTGAAGAAAGAACCCGGTCACACTGAGAAACCAGAAATTGCTGAAAGTATGAAGGAACCTGGGTCCTTGATAACCCAGGGCTGACCTTGCATCCACTTGTCACCAGGCTGGTGAGATGGAGACAAGGACTATCCTCATGTGCTAAATAGAAACTGGCCAAGTTTCTATTATGTGTGGGCAAAAATCATTCTCAACGATTTTACACCTCTCTTGTTGGAAAGTAGACTAAATTGATTTATAAAATAAATGAAGTAAACATACACACACAAACCTACATACCCACAGAAAGAGAGCCAGGGAGGGAAAGAGGGAGGGGGGTGGAAGAGTGAAGAAGGGGCTGTGGGGGGAGCCAGGCTTCCTGGCCAGGTGGGAGAGGGTGCAGCCTTGGTCTCCATGGAGGCAGAGGGCCAGGGCGCTGTCCAGGGTGCTGGGCAAGGGAGGCTTTGCCCCACAGGTCCTTCTGCATGCTCCAGGCCACTGTGCCACCAGGTGTTGCTGTCACCCCACAGTGTCCCATGTTGAGCTCCCAAAAGTGACTGAGTGTCCTCATGTGCTGAGCTGTGTGGTGACCTGTGTCAAAGCTGAGAAAGGTGTTCTGATTTTTCTCAGGGGCTCCCCCAAATCCCACCCCAGCAGAGTGGTGTACGCACCAGTGTGCAGCCAGTTTGGTGGGGCTTCTAGTTCTGGTTTCTCCTGGGACCATGTCCTTTTTCTTGGCCCAGATGTACGTCCAGGAGGCTGGTCCAGGGGAGCATTAGTGGGGCAGCTACAGTGCGGGGCTCAGGATTCCTCTTTCCACTCAGAGGCATGGGCTTGGCATGTTCTTCTCAGGGTGGGCTCTTTCCAGGGAGGTTCTTTAGCAAACATGCATTTTCCACCGGGCCAGCCTGTCTACTTCTCAGATGAACTGGGGTCACATGCAGCCTGATTCTCTTTTGGGAATCGACTTAGTTTTCTAGGGAAACAGACATGACTCAGAGACTTCTTATCAATTCACCAAACATCCATTCCTAGGCCACTAGAAAACTCTGCGGCCACAACCCAAGCCCAAGATGAGCTTCTGCTGCCCAGATCAAGAGAAGAGGTCACTTTGGGGACATGGAACACAGTTTCGGTGTTTTCAAAGTTTGGGCCCCTTCCTGTAGCTCCTATCCCTTCCTCTTGTACACAGATTGCAAATCCTGCCTACACTCATCCCTAAATGTGCAAAGCAGCTACTTAGGCAAATCTCCTGCTCCTTCATGTGCTTTTTTTTGTAACCTCTGGGTCCCAGAATAGACATTTCCATATTAAGGAACATGGGCAACAGAAGAATCAAAAAAGACACCCCTTATCAGAGCAGGTTTCCTTGGCCCGAAAAAGCACTATAACAAACGTGCAGCTGAAGTATCACTTGATGAAAACTAAGAACATTTGTAGTATTTTACATTGGGCTTAATAATTTATTGATGTTTAATATTTCAAAAGAGTAAAGCAGAAAACCTGATGAAATTTTCATATCTGCTATTACAAGCTAAATGGAATGTGAAGTGCATCCGGGCTGCTGAGTGGCAGGAGCTTGGGGTACACTCCCCACCCCACGGCCCATCGGCAGGCCCAGATAGCAAGGTCAGACTGTGCTGCTCGCTAGTTACCCCAAAGGCCCTGTGCACCCCAGAGAGGAGATGCTGGGGCAGGTTGTAGGTATGGTTGAACAGAAAGTCTTGTTTGTGTCAGGTTTTATCTAAGGCCACCCACTCTAGTCCAAAAGAAAAGGAAGGGGGATACTTATTACATTTCTTGGCTTCTTGGCAGTGAATGTGCAGCTTGTGACATAGCCTGGGTGTAGGGGAAGTTCTTGTCTAGGACCTTGAAACTTGAGTGACAGAGTTACCCAGGATATGCAGAGATTCTCTGGCTGCAATAGAGATGAAGTCCAGGGCCGATGGTGTTGGCGATGGTGTTGGCGATGGTGTTGGTGATGGTGTTGGCGATGGTGTTGGCCATGGTGTTGGCCATGGTGTTGGTGATGGTGTTGGTGATGGTGTTAGTGATGGTTGGTGATGGTGTGCTAAGGGAACCGTTCTCATGGTACAGTCTTCTTGATGCCAAATTTTCCTTAACTCCTCTCTCTCTTTCTAAATTGATTCTCTAAGATCCCATTGAGTTGGTAAGTCAGCCAATGCACTACAAATAAATTTCTTTTCTGCTTATGTTAGCTAGAGTTGCTCGCCTCCCAGAACACGGTAAGAGCACCCAGTACAATCTAACCCATTTGTGTGTACATATTTTAATTTCACTTAGGTTGTTCACAATGAAGATCTTTTGAAAACCTTAACTGAAACAAGTTCATTCATTGTAGACATCATCCTGAGAAGGCGTGGGCAGAAATTTTGGGTGGTATGAATGGGCTGGTTCAGATCTGGGCTAACACTTAATCTAAACTATGATGCAGGAGAGATTTCAGATAGTTTATAATACCGTCTGGCACTTATAGAGAATAGGGGCTGGGAGAAACATGCTTGCATGGTCATTAGGAGAAAGAAGGATTAAACAAGAAGATAAGTGATTTTGAACAGTTGTCATTTATTTATTCAACAGACATTTATTAACAATTCAACAGACATTTATTAACAAGTCCCTAGCATGTTGGTTGCTGGCACAGAGTATGTGTGTCATATCATGGACTCTTGGGGCAGCAGGCTGAGGGACGGTAAAAAAACTTACCATTAATGACCTCACTTTACTACCTAAGTCTATGTGTAGAGAGGAAATGAGTGTACATCAGCTTAGGAGCATTTTTCATGGAGTTGTATGTCCAAGTACACAGGAAAGTTTGGGGATAAGCTACCTTCTTTTTGAAGTGGATTTTCAGCTTAGTTCAAGCCAAAGTAAACATTTAAAATGACTCATCTGTTCAGGTTTGGATGTGAAGTATCCCCCAAAGGCTCATGTGTGAGACAATGCATGAAGGTTCAGAGGAGAAATGATTGGGCTGTAAGAGTCTTAACCCAATTAGTGAATTAATACCTGATTGGAAGGGCTGGGGTGGTGGCTCAGTGGTAGAGCGCTCGCCTAGCATGCATGAGGCACTGGGTTCCATCCTCGGCACCACATAAAAGCAAACCAATGTATCCACCTAAAACGAAAGATACATAAATAAATAAATAAAATTATAAAAAATACCTGATTGGATTAATTGAAGTGGGAGAATGTGGCTGGAGGAGGTGGGAATTGGGGCCTGGGCTATGGGGTATATATTTTCTATCTGGAGAGTCAGTCTCTCTCTCTCTCTCTCTCTCTCTCTCTCTCTCTCTCTCTCTCTCTCTCTCTCTCTCTCTGTCTCTCCTTTCTGATGTGAGCCACTTCCCTCCACCACACTCTCCCACCATGAACGTCAGCCTCACCCTGAGCCCTGAGGAATGGCGCTGGCCTTCTATGGATGAAGACCTCTGAAACATTGAGCCCTCAAAGAAACTCTTCCTTCTCTCTAGTTGTTCTGATCAGATCCATTAGTCACAGCAGTGAAAAAGTTGACTCAAACACCATCTTTATCAACCAAATGCTGAAATTTCTTCTGACAAAACAATTCCAATTTGGAGCAACAGATCCCTGTTTCTTATACTTGTTGAATGACTTCATATGATTTAACAGGGTGGTCACTGTGAGAATTCTTGGTAAATGTGCATTTTCACACTCTGCTTCTCTGCAAGATGCCCACCACCCTCCTCACCTGACCTTGGTGGTCCACAGCCCTGTCTGTGATGGCACCAAGACAGGCAGGCCTGTTCCTAGCAATGTCACCACCTTGAGTGGAGGGATACTAAGTGCTGTACAACTACCCCAAGTCCCCACTGTCACAACCCACCCTATGTCAGGCAGTTTTCTACCAAGTGATCACACTCAAGATGCTTCCATCTTATAGCTCAGCCATCTTCTGCTACAAGAAAGTTGACCTGGGGTCACCTGGCTGGCAGAGGGGAGAGGGTTGCAGCATCATGTACCTAGTACTTAACCGAGTCAGTCTGCAAATGGCATGTATGACTTCCACCCACATTTCACTGGTAAGATACAATTAAGCCCCAATGCAGGGGGCTGGGAAAGGTAGTCCCTGGCTGAGGAGCACCCTTTGACCCTGTGCATGGGAGCAAGGACCTTTAATGGTTTGAGAACACCTCTGCCAGCTATTTAGTACCAAATCTCTTCCCCAACAACAAGCTTTGAACTCACCACCATGGAGGAAGGGACTGCAGAAAACAACTCAACCTCTGCCATTAATGTCTGATAACATCGTTTTCGTTTTTTTTCACTGTCACTTACACAATATTCATAATTTTTAGAGAAAGAATAGGAAGTTGGCCTCCCTAAAGATAGCTTGAAGCCATGACTCTAAGGGGAAAAGTATTGGGGAGGAGGGGAACTCCTGCTGTTGTTAGGTAGCAGATGGACATGGGCAGTGGGAATGTGGAGTTTAAAGGGTTAATCCAGGAGAGCCCCCTGCTAACTCTCAGCATGTCTTTCTTTGAAGCAGCTCACCCAAGGTCATTCGGACCCAGCTGTGGTTTAAAAGATAGCAGTATATTACAGCCCTTGACTAATGAGCTCGTTATTTCCAGGGTTGTTCTTCCTTCTACGACTGAGGAGCACAGGTCCCCAAACTCCTCTGCTGATTAAAAAAAAAAAAAAACTAATACAAGTTACCCCACAATCCAGAAGGACCGAGTGGCGCTTTTAGGTAAAAACATGTGCAGTAGGGATTTATGAACCTGATGCAATCCTACTGTCAGTCAAAAGTGAAGAGGCTGATGTGCTTGGGCAGGATTCTTCCGAGACCTCTCCTCCTGCCCCAGCGAAAAGGAGCTCACCTAGAAGTGAATCGTGGCTCTTCTCCCCGAGAGCCCCTGTTCTTTCCCTTGAGAGTCTTTTCCTCCTCCTTCTTTCTCTCCTAATAAACTTTGCTACACTTTTACCAAGTCTCACGTCTTGCTTGAAATCCTCTCATGGAAGAATACAAGAGCTGAGAGCACAGAGCATTCTCTGGTAAGATCTTAGCTCAGGCATCATCTCAGGTGTATAACCACCTTCAGAAACCTTGGAGAGAAGCCACCCTTCACCTGTGTGTTAGGGAAACTCAGTTTCAAATCTCAAGGCCTGATCATGTCAGAGGGGGATAGAACAACTGCCTTAAGTAGTTTTTCACCCAATTTCCAGCCTATCTGTGCCCTACTGGCTCTGTAGGTCTAGTGGCAGAGCTGGTGTTTGCCTGGCCAACAGCTTGACTGG